GAAAATCTAGCTTTATAATGTCATACCAAATGATGTTTATCTACATTGGTGTATTTATACGAGATTCAGTTCCAACTACTCAAATATAAAAAGATGTGAGTAAATTTACAGAGGATGTTAGAGGACTTAGTTGGGTTTTGTCTTTTTTGTATAAAATGAAAATATACTTCTCCTTCCCCATTCCAACTGAAGTGCCTTTAAGCACTGTGATCACTTGAGAAAATTTAGTTGTTCTTAACAAGTTTTCAAAAACTTAAAACTCAAAAAAAAAAAAATCAAAGAATATTACATTTTAAATCAAAACTGGTTAAACAGCATTTTTTAAAGGCACTGTCTGTGTATAAGGTAAAATTTGCAGAAAAATCTGTTTCCCAACAGATTGTAACACAGAATGGTATTTCCTGAACTATTGAAAAAGGTGTTTCAGAAACAAGTTTCCAACATACTTAGGCTTCTTTTGTTTGAGAAAGAGATGCCTTATAGAACTTTTTATTTACTCTATTTTTTTAAAAGTGTTATTTAATGCCATTAAAATTATTTTGGTCTTCCTTTCTAAAAGGCACTGTGAGTTTAAGTTTAATCAAGGAGCTGAAAAACTTGTATACTGAAAACTACTGAACATTATCAAAAGAAATCCCATGTTTATAAATCAAAAACCTAATATTCTTCAAATGTCCATACTACCAAAAACAATCCACATATTCAATACAATTCCTATCAAAATCTCAATGTCATCTTTTATAGTAATAGAAAACTCTATTCTAAAATTTATATAAAATGTCAAGGAACCCCAAATAGCCAAAATAATCTTAAGAAAAAATTAACAAATAAAGCTGTCTATCTCACACTTTCTGACTTTAAAACATAGTAAAAAACTATGGTAATCAAACTATATGATACTGGTACAAAGAGACATAAACACCAATGGAACACAATAGAGACCCCAGAAATAAACTCTCTAGTATGTGGTCAAATCATCTTCAACAAGATTACACAATGGAGAAAGCTTAGTTTCTCAATAAGAGGTGTTGGAAAAAAATGTATATCTACATGCAAAAGAATGAAATTGGACCCTTACCTTCTGCCACATGTAAAATTAATTCAAAATGGATTACAAATCTATACATAAGACCTGAACTATAGAACTCCCAAAATAAAACATAGGAAAAAAGCTTCATGACATTGGATTTGGCAACTATATCTTGGACATGACACCAAACGAATAGGTAGCAAAAGCAAAAATAGACAAATGGGACTACATCTAACTAAAAACTCTGGGTATCAACAGAAACAACTAACGGTGAGAAGGCAGCATATAGAAAGGGAGAAAATATTTGCAAATCATATTTTCTGGCAAGAGCTTAATAGCCATAATCTATAAAGAACTCCTACAACTCAATAACAGCAACACAGAACAACTCAATTAAAAAGTAGGAAAAGGAATTGAACAGACGTGTCTCCAAAGAGGATGCATAAATGACTATTAAAATATTAAACTGATAACAAACTTCTCATAGTCAACAATAGATACCAGAAACCAATGTAAAATTATACTCCAAATGCTGAGAAAAATATTGGTCTACTGAGAATTTTATAACTACCTGAACTACAATTCAAGAATGAAAGTAAAAGGACTACATTTTCATGGCTATCAAAAGTGAGTTCACCATTCACACGCCCTCACAGGCAAAACAATGAAAGGTTTAGTTTAGAAGAAAAGTGAACTCGAGAGACTAAATTTGATATATACACACACAGACAAAAATTCTATGAATAGAAATTATTCAAAATACTTGTTAATTTAATGATTAGCAATAAAATAATTGTGCATATGACTTTATTTTAAAGTGCAAATAATCAAATTGGCGGCCAGAAAGGTTGCAGTATTTACTAGCAAGAAAACATCCTAACGTCCATTAGCTGTTGGAAAGGAAGACAGTAACACTAGAAATATTTAGCAAAGTATGTTGTTATTTATGTATAATTAAAAATTAAGTCTAACCACTAAAGGAATAAAAATATGGCCTAAGTTTACAAAGTTGCAGAAGGATTTAATAAAATAGAAAAAAATATATCAATAAAGCAACAGAATTTTTTTTAAAAGAAAACGGAAACAAAAGTACATTTAAAAAAATGCAAACTACTATGGTAAAAATGTATCAAGATACATCAAAAATCTCATCAAATATATACGGATTAAATTCACCTAAGAAAATACAAAATTTCAGAGCAGCTCTTAAAACTATAGCTCTATGCTGCCTAACAGTCACTCCATCTTTACCACTCCCTCCTCCTGCTTCCTGGTGAAGAAAAAGAAATCAAATGTAACAAGGGAATTGATTCCTACCTTAAAAATAAATAGAAGCCAGGTAAATGACACTAGATAAATGATACTGCTTGTGAATCTTTTGGATCCAAGTTAGCTTATCTAGATCCTCTTAGTGTGCTTCAGCCCTCTCCTCTCTTCATAAACTGCAGTTATGACCCTTACTGGTTGCCCAGTTACAGTGTTGCCCACGACACAGAAAATTGCTTTTTCAAAGAAATTCTAGTCTTAATGCATACCAGAAACATCTCAGGAAAGCCAAAGTTAACAGCTGATTTTTGACTCACCAACAGAAAGCATTGTGATCCTAGGTGTGAGGCAAGTTTTACTCAAGTGGAGAGAGGAATTGAAAATCTAGATGTTCCAATAGGTTTTACAAAGGGATCAGCTCCATTACAAAACAGTACCTTATAACCCCCTCTTGTGGCTCAAGATCCCACCCCCTCTTAACTTCATATCTAAGCAAGAAGGACAGAAGGAATGCATCTCTGAAAAGTTTCAGAGGATGAAACCACAAAACAGCAATCCCTCCTAACTCCCTCCTTCTCTTATACAATTGTCTCCTGCTTGCAATATTGTTGCCAAACTTTGTGTTTTTCTTCTTCCTGGACCTCTGGAAATCAACTCTAGTCTAATGAACTGCACATTATAGCTTCTGTGGAATTACAACCTGAATTATGACCTTTTAAATATACACAGTATAGTCTACATTTAGCTGCTTAATGACTGATTAAATCTTTAAAGTAAGACTAACTAGAAATATTTTTAAAAAATTCTTGCCTTTTTTTCCCATTTTAATTCTTACATTTACAATGGACTCACAATAACTAGACATTAAGAATTGTTAGAGCTATGACATTCTAAGAGAGCCCATTATTTTGACTGAAAATGTATTTAAGTATCATTTTGAGCAGAAACTGTTGAAAAAATGTATAGGTACGCATATAGCATATAAGTGTATATTTTGATTTGAATATTATCAGGAGTAAAATATTAACTTCAATAATCCTAATACAAGTGACACATGTATTACTAATAGGCAAGTGTAATGTACCTGTTGGAGCCAATGGAAAATTTTACCTTCATCCTCTGTAGATTAAGTGAAAATTGATAGACAAAAGGCTGATTAACAGGAGAAAAGAAACACAAATTTATTAACGTACACTGGGGAGAATCACAGGGTGATTACCCAACCTTGCAAAATGTGGTACACATGGGTACATACCCTTCTTTTTAGAAGAAAGGGAGAAAAGGAGGTGGGGATGAATTCAATGAACTTAAAGAACATGTAATGACCTTGGACCAGGTGTTTTGAGTGTGCAGAGTAGGCCATGGTTTGCGACAAAAGGCTGTCTAAGTGCATTAATGGACTTCAGTCTTTCCTCCTGTGACATGAGTTCAGTTAATGAAAACTCAGGGAACAGACCAGAGGTAACTGTTTTCTTTTTTGGCAGGTTCGAACTTAGGCAGATAAGGGAACTCCAGAGAACAACTTCATCCTATGCTTTGGGAGAGACAGGATTGAGACACAGGAGGCAGAGAGAATTCAGAGAGACTCTGAGGCTGCTGCTTCTGTACAGCATGTAAAAACACCGTATTTGATGGTATCAATTTCTGAGCTCCAACATGCCAGAGATTTAACTGAATATTCGAAGAGCCTAATGAAAACTAGTCAATAACTAATTTAGAATCCAGCAGATATATGGGAACTTCCAAAATAACCTTGTGCTATTTACCGAGATCATAGAAAGTAAGGGTAGAAATCTGTAATCATGATTTTCAAGGAATTTTTTTCAGGAACTACAAATAGCCAACTCTCTTACAAGAAAGCAGAAATACACACACGCAGACACACCATTCAGTATAGCCACATTTTCAATGCATAAATTATTATCTTGAGAGTGAGACAAGCATCAAAATTGTGTTAGTTACTTTAAAATATGTCAGTGGTGGTAATGTAGCCACTGATGCTACCTAATTTTGTCAGTTAGGGATTTGAAAAAAGACATGACACAACATGGTGTCCAACGTGCTCAATTGAAAGGTGTAAAATTAAGCCAAATAGGGAAGATGATTTGCCCAAAGGGATATCAAGGTAATACATGAAATGCAAGTAAAACCAAATATCCTTGCTCATGATCCAGAGCTCATTCCATAAATTCATATTGCCTTTGAATTAAAGTTATTCTGAGAATCTGACATATTGGATAAAACTCAGACTTACTAAATACAAACAAAGCAACAATCTATTATGAAAGCTTTTTTTCTCCATAATAGGACGGAGACTATTTCCAGACAAATCGAATAATTTTCCTTCCTAGGCCATCCTCTATGCTTGAAGGAAAAGTAATAGGAGAAAAGAAAAATGTCTTACTCTTTGAACTAAACAGAAAGGTAAAATTCAAAAAGGAGAATGTTCTGCGAAATGTAAGCTAGAGGCAAAGAATTGATATTGCATCAAGTGTAACTGCAATATACTAATTCAACAAGACATGGACTTTAACACTATAAATTATGAAATCCTCAAAATAGTCCTGAAAAACGAGATCACAAAATATAAAACGACTTCAACTTCCAATTTCTAGGCCAACATGATGGTTACTCCATTACCTCTCAGTGGTAGTTTACACACATACACTGAAATACACACACACACACATTACAGTGTACTTACTGAACTGTAGAGATAGCCTTCACCATTCATGGCCACATAGAGGCTGGCCTTCACTCCTTGGATGGCCACCACACGCAGGCCCACAGGAATTAGATTGAAGAGAGCTAGAGGGGGAAAAAAAGAAGGGAGGAAAAGATCACTGACTTTTTGAATAAATAATTGTTTTTCTTATAATAATTCTTTGGAGAATTAAAACCTATTAATTGAAATTGGTAGAAAAATTGAGAGAAAAAGAAATAAAGAGAGGTCTAAAAATGGGGAGAATTGACTTCTTGACCCTACACCAGCATTAATTACCTATGTAACTTTAGGTAAGTTATATAAACTCTGTAGTAAATGGGTTGGATTAGAAGGTCTCTAAAGGCTCAACTGATCTGAGATTCCAGGATCCCTGATCCTTAAAAGGAACACATACTCGAACAGTGTAAGATATTTTTTTTTCCTAACAAACAGATAATATGAAACAAAAAATTCTCAAAAGTAGAAGACATATCTGTAGTCATAAGAAATGATAAAATATTATCTTTAAAACAGGCCAAAGCTTCTTGTTTTTAGTCTTTTCCTTAGTGGGTTCTGAACATTGTATTGAACACAGAAGAAGAACACAAAAATTGCTGACCTATTGGTGATAACATTCAAACAAAACTTTTCTCTTGATATGTCAATTTTTTACATGCAAATAAAGGGAGATAAACAGATGGGTAGATGACTGATAGCTTAAGCTATAATGGATATATTTGATATCCAGGTAGAAAATATATATACATATACATATTCAAAACCATTAACAGTTTATTTGATGGAAGTAATTCAATATCCTAAGATGAAATGGAAACATGCTTGCAGTCTTTACATACTTGAGTTACTCATCATTCAAAAGACTCAAGTCTATATATCCACTTGAAGAAGGAATTCATAGATCAGAAAAAAATGATACCTAAGAGAACTTTCTATTTTTCTTCCAACAATATATTTCTATGAACATATTTGTATCCTTGGCACTATTTCAGTTACTTCTGAGATTACAAAATGAGCATAAGCAGAAAACATTGCCCCGCCCTGAAACAATTTACATTGCATATGGAAGAAAAGCGATCATAAAGTTAGGCTCTGTGGATGGCGACATGGATATGAATTAAATATCTCATGACCATATGCGTAAGAAAGTATCTCTGCAGTTCACTTTAGTATCCTGACTTAATTAGAAGAACATATCCACCTTTTCTATTGATAAAATTTCTATCGGGTCTTGTCTTCTTAGTTTTTAATACAGGATATACATAAATTAACCCAAGGGATACCATTATTTAGGGATGCCTCTATTTTTCTGGGCTTCTCTCAAGCTACAATAGTAAGCTAAACACATGTACATGCAGAGACACACACTCACAGTATTTGTCTTTCAGTCAAATGTTGAATTGAGAGCTGTAGAAGATAAAGCCTTAGCCACAAGTTTAGTAGAGCAGGATTCCATTCTTAGCTGTTGACACTGGATCAGTCTTTTTGCTTCTTTGAACCCATTTCCACATTTGTCATGAAAATTAGACTAGATAGGAAACTATAAGTAGTTTCTTATAGATTAATTGTTGGCTCAATTTAGATGTGAACTAGTTTTAGTTCTTGCTATGTTCTTACCAGTGTCCTTGTGTTACTGAAATAACTTAAGAAATACAAGAACTAGACAAGGTCTAGTTGGGGAGAAAAAGCTAAGACATATGGAATAATATGATACAGTGTATAATTTACTTCTATAATTAAATGTAATATATGCATTCTATATATATTCTCTATGTTACAGAAGTTCAGGAAAATGGAAGATCTGTGTGGCCTGAAGTATTCATGGAATGCCTTACACAGAAAATGGAACCTGAGTTGACACTTAAAGAGGAGGCAGAAGTTGAGAAAGCCAAGAACAGAAAACGTTTTAGTGAGGCAGGAAGTTAGGTGGTTTTGCAGAGTAATGTGTGTAAGCAGAAAGGGACTGGCAGACTGGGGGATTTGGTTTATATTGGAGGGGAATGAGAAAGAGCCACATAAATAAAATAAGGATAAACAACTGAGAGTCTGTCACTCTAATCTTAGAGATCTAGACTTTACCAAATGGGCAACAAGATGTGTGACATATAAAAACTAGAGCAGCAACACAGATTATGAGTATGAGATTTGCAGACACATAGTTTCTAAAACCTCCACTCAGTTACATGGCTTTGAGCTATTCACTTAACCTCTCTGCCTTAGTTTTCCTGTCTGTAAAATGCCCATGATAATCCTTACTGTACAAAGTTGATAGAACCAAATGCATTGTCATGTTTCTGAACGTAATTCATAAACAGAGAGGTGTTCTCTCTATGAGCTATTTTTCATGAATACCTAATTCTTCTGCTTGTCGGATAAAGTTACCATAAGGCTGTTGTAAAAACCAACATATTACCTCAGTAACATTTTTTAGTTTATATTCAGCAGCTTGCCTTGGTGCTTTAAAATATAATACTTTATATTTGTGCCTACATTAATTTTCAAAGTGCCAATATATTTATTAATTGTATTGGATCCTCAACCATAGACAATATGAAGAATTTAGGGCAGAATGATTACCTTAATTTTTAGAAGTACAAAAAGATTTAGAGTTAACCCAGGGGAAAATGCATCTAAACAAAGGTTTTTCAGGCTCTCTAATGTGGTTACCTGTCCAAAACATCACATTTCATCTTTTTGTTCTTTTGATTTCCTCTAATATCCCTTCTTGCTTTCTTACAAATAAATAGATTATTCAGCTACATCTTACATAGCCTGCAACCAGATGTCGTTCCTATGGACTCACTACTGGCCAATGAGAGGTAAGTCATCAATCACATCATTATAAACCTGAGGAATCCTTCCTTGAAGACAACTTAGAGGTGGCCTTTGCCCCCTTTTCAACGTTTCCTATTGTTGTTTGAATAGGGATATGGTAGCTGCATCATTTCAAACCATAAAAACAAGGACTACTCCCCGGTGGGTGTTGATAGGTGAGCTGGAAGGAACTGGGTCCCTGAGAGCTTTGTGGAACAGTGGCACAAGTCCAATATTCAATTACCCAGGTCTGGCTTTTATGTGAGAAAATAAGTCCTTGTTATTTTAGTCTGTGCAATGCAGAGCCAACCCTAATCCTAACTGAGAGAGATGCTAATGAAAGCAGAATTAATATGCAAGATACGAACTAGATGCAAGGTACTTATACATTTTAAATAAAAGCAGATACTAGAAAACACTAAGTTCAGTGACAATTATTGTGAGAAGGAGAAAAGAATTCCCAGGATAAATGCTAAGAACACGGGTTTATGCAGCTGACCATAGAAGGAAAAGCAACTATAAAGTTTTTCCTACGTGAAGAATGGGAGAAAACTGCTAATGCTAGGCAGGGACGAAAACAAGAAACCTGTTTGAAAGTTTTATACGAACCACAAGATGATAATGGCTTTTAGCTGATTTCCTTTGGGAGACTTACCAAGCCCATTTTTAAAAATCAGTAAATGATTTGAAATGAGACTTTATGGATAAAAGCTAAACACGATTTCTCTGGAAATGTCTTCATCTGCCTCCTAAAATCCCAAAAGGTGGCAAATGACTTACCCTTATCTACTAATTATCTTCAGAGTAGCATACTCTGGCTCCAGCTCACAGGAGCCCTTCACTACTTCTTTCCCTGCTTCTCAATGCCACTGCCCTAACTAGCAGTAACTGGGCTGCTTGACTCCACCCACTCTTTAAGTTCCTTGCATCCTCTTATGCCATTTTCCTGCTTACAACCTGCAGTGATTCCTCCCTGTCTCCAGTGTCCTTTACAACCTGGCTCCAACCCACATTTCCAGCTTATCACCTGTCACCCCTTCCATCTGCTGTAACTGGCTTCACAGAGCTTTTTGCCATTTCCTAAGTTCCCCCTCGATCTTTAACTAGGCTGGAGTTTGTCCTCTTTTGTCCTCTATCTCTTTTTGGAAAGCCTATCTTCCCACTTCTAAATTTGGCCAACTCTTTTCATCATTTAAGGCCTACCTTGTTGAATGAACTCCCCCATGAGTCTTGCCCAAAACCCTTCAGAAATAATACTTCCCTTTTCCAGATGGCTTATTTCTTGTGCATATTTCTGTAAAGGTATTTAGAACATGGTTTTAGAGTTCTTTGTTTATATCTCTGTCTCCATCCCTACAATGCAAGACTCTTGAAGGTGGTTGCTGTAATGTCTAGCCCAGTTCCATGTACATAGCTTTATTAAATAAATGTTACTATATGGGTTATGAGAAAACACATTATTTCCAGGAATTTAGATTTTCTTGTTAGAATGAAAATTCTTTTTAAGGTAAAAACGAAATTAAAAACTTAAAGCATCTCAGTCTGATATTTAAGGTAACATCTACAACATACATTTCTGATACTTGGCACTTTCACTCCAATATTGAGTGCTTCTAGTAATTTGATCTTCCTCCTCCTGCCTTCTAAACTCCAACTTTTTGCTAACTTAGTTCCCTCTCCTTGGAATGTCACTCTCCCTGTATCTTCACACTGAAATCCCTGACATGCTTGAAATGACACACCAAATGCCAAGTGCTTTCTTTCACTTCTTAGCTGCCCTATTCCTGGATCCAGACTATATTTATCACAATTTATAGTTTTATTCCTCTAAAAAATCTGTTTCCTCTCCCAATCACAACAAGATTGTAAGCTCTCCAAAACAAAACACACATCAAAACTACACTTGTATAATGTGAGGAAAGGAAGAGAGAGAGACAGAGAGAGAATATGCAGGGTAGTATATATTCTGTGTATATTAACCATCCCAGTAAAAACGTGCTAAATACTACAATCATATGCCATATAGAGTCCAAGTATTTAATCTGACATTCAGAGATCTTCTTAAACTTGTCCTTTCCAAAAGGGGGTATCTTGCTCTAAATATTTTTGTAAAGTTGACTCTTACATTTTGAAAAATGAAATAATGGAGTTGGTACTTTTGGCTCCCATAAACCAAGCTCAATCATAAAACCTCACAGAAAAAAGGTATGGGAAAAAGGTAATGAAGGAAAAGTATAGTCTCTTCAACAAATGGTGTTGAGAAAACTGGGTA